AGGGCAGCTCTGGAAGTGGGCCGCCCCTCCCTTGTTTCTGTGGGAGTTCTGTGGCTCCTGTCTAGGCATTTTATTTTGGAGGACTGTTTTGATGCTTGGGAGGGTCACACCTGGCTTGGGTGGTTGGGCATCTCCCGTGAGAGGTGAGAGGACATGCAGAGAGAGAACAGCTCATTTATTGCACTCCAAGAAACCAAGAGGTCAGCCGGGCCCTCTGTCCCCTGCCAGCAGCCCAGAGTTGAGGGCTGGGAGCAGGTGTCTTCGGCCAGGGTCAGGAGGCCACTCCCTGTCCGTTGAGTTATCATGGCCTCTTGTGGGCCCTACTCAGTCACTAGAGCCCAGCTCACAGCAGGTGCTGGTAAGTGAGTGCAGGAGCCTGCTGGTGGGGGTCTGGAAGAAGCATCCCAGTGGGCTGGATTGCCGTTTCTGTGTCGGAGCACAGGGGTCAGAGACCAGAGCACTCACCCTAAAGGCCTGTTGGGCCTCCTCAGTTCCATTCTCTGTATGATGGCTACTCTGCTTTTACCTCTGACTGAGGGCCATGTGGTGTGACAATCCTATTTGTTTGCTGGCAGACTGTGCATATGAGAGCCAACAAAAAATATTTTGCAACTCTTGCGAGGGGGTGGTGGGTTTGCCAGCATAGCTGTTGTGGGCATGCAGTTAGAGTTCAGGCATGCAGGGGCCTTCGAGAGTCAGGTGAGGAGGATGAGGAGAGCAATGAAGTCATCGTCAGCTGCCGGAGCAGCAGAGTGAGAGCCAGCATGACTGTGAAATCTAATCACCACTGGCTCCTTTGTTTTGCCTTAAAAAAAACTTTATCTCTTGATACTTTGTCGTTTGAAGAAGCCAGGTGCTGTGGGTCCTTTAGGTCTGGAAATTGGCAAGGGAGAGTGACGTATGGTAAAATGACGGGTATGGGTCCAGCCAAGCTCCACGGCCAGGTGTGGCCTGGTCAGCAGGGAGTGTAGCAGGGAGGCCAGGCTGCGTCTGGGTTCATGACTGGTTAACCAGGGCCATCTCCCTGAAGACTCTACCTGGTCTTTCGGGGGAAGGAGGGAGGGAGGCCCTTGTTGAACCTGTGAGCCATTCCTGCTAGTGGACCTGGCCTGGAGTCAGAGGGAGACCAGGGCTTCCCACAGGTGGGCACCTCTGGTGGCCAGGGGCAGGCCGGCATCCACACTGCTGAAGGCCCAGCATGGAGCTGCTGCTCAGAGGAATCCTCGGGGGTGTGCAGAGGCACCCAGGGACAGGCCTCACCCGTGGAGAGGATCCATTGGGCAACATCTCTGCTCCAGTAGATACCCTGATGCATAAAGAGTGATTGATTAAATAAAAGGAATAAACCGTCATGAAGGCAGAACAGTCCCCAAGAGCATGTATCATGTCTGGCTGCTGGCAATGATAAGAAGAGACTCCTCCAAGCAACTATGGTTTGGAAACTTTTATTTTATTTATTTTTTACATAGAGTCTCACTCTGTCTTCCAGCTGTAGTGCAATGGTGTGATCTTGGCTCACTGCAACCTCCATCTCCTGGGTTCAAGCAATTCTCCTGTCTCAGCTTCCTGAGTAGCTGGGATTACAGGCACCTGCTACCATGCCCAGCTAGTTTTTGTATTTTTAATAGAGATGAGGTTTCACCATATTGGCTAGAGTGGTCTTGAACCCCTGACCTCAAATGATCCACCTGCCTCAGCCTCCTAAAGTGCTGGGATTACAGGTGTGAGCCACCAAGCCCAGCCTGGAAATGCTAGAATGTACTCTCAAACAACCGATGGGCTGAAGGGGAAATCAGAGTGGAAACTAAACATATGGAAGCGAATGACTGAAAATGTTGCATACTGGAAACCTCTGGGATCTATTGAAGGTGTCATCAGAGGCAAGTTTGTAGCCTTAAATGAATTTATATAAAATCACAAAAGATTGAAAATACTTGAATTAAGAACTCAGTGCAGGTGATGACAGAAAGAATATAGAGAATGAGAGGACCTTTTCTGTCTAGCTCATGCTGTTTGAGGAGCAGTGAGCAGTCTAGTGGGCCCAAAGCACTAGGGTGGGGAGAAGGAGAGAGCCTGGAAGGTCAGCAAGGGCCAAAGTGATCTAGGGCCTCCAACGCTAGACCCTGAAGCATGTTAGCAGTGGACGGACGGTCTCTTCTACAGTACAGGTTGGCTTTGGTCCACAGCAGAGCCCAGGTGTTCTCTGTGCTGTCCTCTGAGTATCCTGGGCTGCTTATGTGAGCCCTAGGCAGAGGAACAGGAGCCTTTGTGGAAGGAACATGGAGCAGGAGCTGTGTGGTCCTCTCGGTAAACAGGTAAATTTTATATAAATTAGGGAGGACTACAGACCCACACAGCTTATCACTCACTTCATCCCCGGAGCTTCCTGGGGCTTGGTCTCTGGAAGGGGCACTAGCAGTCATATGCAGGGCTCCCAGCGCTTGCTTTCTGGTTGTGATCCCTGCTGAACTGAGGGCTTCGTTGGTTCTATTGCTGTTGCTGCTGCTCTGACTCCACTACCTTTTCCCAACTTGGCATCTGGTGGTTGAACCATGACAGGAAGGGAGAGTGACCTGCAAGTATTTGTCCCTTAGCTGCTGTGACTTCTTGGAAACCTGCCATTACTCAGTGAGCTCTGGACAGGCAAAGGGCCCATCTTTTTTGACATTCCATGTACTGAATTCCTTCTCTTTTCTCTGTTTCCTCTTTGTTTTTCCTCACAACAAAAGTAGTGTTGTTGCTTGGTGTTTGTATTAATATAGCAATGCCATATATTCATTGTTAAAAAATTCAAAGTTTGCCAGGTGCAGTGGCTCATGCCTGTAATACCAGCACTTTGGGAGGCCTAAGTGGGTGGATCACTTGAGGCCAGGAGTTCAAGACCAGCCTGGTCAACAGAGTAAAACCACATCTCTACTGAAAATACAAAAATTAGCTGGGTGTGGTGGCGGGCACCTGTAATCCCAGCTACTAATGATGCTCGGGCATAAGAATCACTTGAACCTGGGAGGCAGAGGTTGGAGTGAGCCAAGATTGTACCACTGCACTCCAGCCTGGGCGATAGAGCCAGACTTTGTCTCAAAAAAAAATAAAAATAAAAAGGTTCAAAGTAATGGAAAAATGACAAAATTTCTAAGAATCAAGTAAAAGTTACCTGAAATTACACTACCCCCCTCTGTTAACCCCTTGGTGACTGTCCACCTGAAAGGGTATCCGAGTGATGGATGCAGTGATCCCCTATTCGAGAAAGTGGATCTGTATTATCCTGGATAATGGTGGCTTAGGGGCATAATGGGAGATGGGGAGTAATGGGAGGTATTTGGGTCATGAGGCCATGCCCACATGTATGGATTAATGCCATTCTTGCAGGAGTGGGTTTATTACCATGGGAGAGGGTTCCTTATGAAAGGATGAGTTTGGCCCCCTTTTCTTTCTTACCTTCTCTTTGCCCTTCTGCCATGAGATGATGTAGCAAGAAGGCCCTTGCCAGATGCTGGACCCCTGATCTTGGACTTGCAAGCATGCGGAACTGTGAGCCAATACACTTCTGCTCATTATGAATTACTTAGTCTCAGATATTTCTTGATAGCAACACAAATGAACTAAGACAAGGGGTCACCCCACAGACCGTCCTCTGAGGATTCAGCAGGTTAATGCAGGTGCTGTGCTCTGAGCACCTGAGTACTCAGTGTTCACCACTGTTGTACTAGCTTTTTTCATCACCCCTGTAAGGAGCATCTCTGAGAGGAAGAGCTGAAGGTGAACTCTGGAAGCATGGGAGGGCATACTCGCTGCTGTCCAGTGTGTCTGAGGCCGGATGGCACCTCTTAACCTGCTGCGTGTCTCTCTGGGGGACAAAAGCTGCCTTCCTCCACGGCCTTGAGGTCCCTTTTCCCTCCCACGACTTGGCTGGTCTTTTCTGGCATTGAGTGGAAGGTCCCTCTCAGTGTTCCTCTTGCTGATGGGTCAGCTGTAGATATGCTGCCAGAGGCCCTCTCATGGGAAGTTGGGGCTCTTGGCACTCCCTGTACTGGTCTGGAGGAGCTGAGATGGACTTGGTGACAGTGGCTGTGCTGTTCTCTATGAGAGAACCTCTTTTATCTGATTTTGCTTGGGAGCCAGGTACTGGCCACAATAAAAGTTCAACTGGGAGGAGGAAATGGTGGTAGCTGTGGTCATGGTGTCACAGCTAAACAGACCCTTACTCTGTGCACCTTTCTGGGATAGGTTTTAGGCATATGGGGAAGAACTCCCCTTTACCAGGAGATCATGCATCCTGCATTCCCCTGAGCCTGGACATGCTCTCCGGCCCTTGGAGTGTGACCTGGCACATGCCTGGCATTCCCCTTCAGGTGGTCACACAGACCTTCAGCATCTGGGAAGCCAGAGTAGGCACCTCACTACCCACGGCCTGAACATAAGAAAAGTGAATGCATGTTAGGGATACGTGTCACGTTGCTCTGCTGCCCAAGCACCTTTGGTAACCTCCTTCCTCTTACCTGGGCCCTGAACTATACCCCGTCTGCTTGAGCCATTGGCTCTTTTAGATCTATATTTCCCTGGTCAGCAGCTGGGTAGTGTTGGGCATATCTTGGGTGTTGGGGTTTGTCTGGGTCAGAGGGACCAAGTTATGGTCTCAGTGCTGTAGCTGGGGTGCCTCAGTGCATCTCTCTGACTTGTGATTTGTTATTGGGAAAGTCGGGACAATGAGGCCAGCCCTGGAGGGCTGCCAGCACAGACTGTCCCATTCACTCCTCTCTGTCACCCGCAGTCCCATAGCATGACCTTGTCCTTTTGCTCAGGAACCAAGGCCTGAGTGGTGGTGCTTGCACCTGGCTGTAGGCAGGCTCCTGGGCTACAGATTACTGAGGATTGTGCACTGAGTGGGCTCTCAGTCCTTTATCTTGCTGCTGCTTTCATTTGGGAACTTCTCATTTTCTTCCTGTGCATTTAGAATCGAGAGTGACCTTTGATGTGTGTTTTTTTGTTTGTTCTGCTAGGGACCAGCCACCACTGTTGCCTTTTCAAGAACTGGGGAGTATTTTGCTTCCGGAGGCTCTGATGAACAAGTAAGTAAAGAATAGTCAAATGAAATGGTGAAGAAAGGAATCTGAGCTGATTTCTGCTCAGAACCAAATGGTGTTTGGGGGATGGGCTGGGTTTCACCAGTTTCCTTGGTGGCTTTCTGTGACTAAAAAGACCCTGATGGAGCTTGGGGTCCAGGGCCCTCGCCACCCCAGAATGGGTCTCCTGCAGGTGGTAACCTTATGGCCGCATCTCAAAATCCTCACTTCCCAGGCTAGCACTTAGTGGAAGGAGGCTGGGCTATGGTTGTCGTGAAGTTGGTTTTTTAGTTCTTTTCCTGATGCTAAACAAATCGATAATGATGATTATTATGATCTTACTGCAGGCCTAGGAATATGACCAATGTGACAAGAGCTTCGTAATTCTCATGACAACCCTGTGGGGCATGCCTTCTCATCTCACCATGCTGTAGATAAGGAAACTAAGTTCCAGCAGATGGTAGGGCTGGGGCAGGCACCAGGACCTGTCTCACTTCAGAGCCATTCTCTTGCCCTGGGAGCCTCTGCTCTGTCATCTGCTGCCCTGTGTTCCCAGTCCACTTGGACGCTATTTGAGGGGTCAGCATTTTCAGTATTTTTGGCTGCAGAGAGAGGTTATTGTGAAGAGGTCCTATCTCACCTTGTCACCCTCTGCTGTGAGGCTTCAGCCTGTCAGCCCTGGTGCCTTGTACCCTAACTGCTAACCACCTATTACCTGTCTCCTGGCAGGTACCCTGCTTCTGGGGTCTAGTCCAGACCCTGGCACTGGGGAGGCCAGGAGCACTGAAGAGTCCACCTGCAGTCTTTCACCAGTGTCCATACGGTCCTCCTGTCCAGAGAACTACAGCCCCTGAGGCAAGGAGGAAAGAGTGGCTGTTCTGCGCCACTGTTGACCTGATGGATGGCCAAGAATGTTTATTCCCCTGCTGCCCAGCCTTTTAGCTCTGGTTGCTCAGCCTAGAAAAATCCTATTGGCCTATGTGAGTCCTGGCCTCAGCCAAATCTGCCAATTTGGTTATGTCTCTTCTAGTAAGGCAGAGGGTAGTTGGAGGCTCTTTGACTATAGCTTGGATTAGAGACAGCAGACATCTTCCCACACCAGCACCAGTCCTGCTCTAGCAGATAAGGGAGGAGGAAGGCAAAAGCGACCCCTGAGCCTTCCCTGAGTGTGAGGCCTGGCTTGTTGCTTAGAAGACAGGGAGACTAGTAGCTTAACACAGTAAATCGAGTCATGGTAGAATCAACTGACATAGTAGGAGAGGCAGCCTGGTGGAAAATAGGCTCCCACCCACTCTGGCCCCTCCTAAAGCAGCACTGCCATCAGTTCCCAGGCTGCCTGTCGAATATCTGCTCTGAGCTCTTTCGGAGTGACATTTGGCATTGTCTGTTTGTACTCATGATAGCCACTCTACTCTTAGGAATTTATTCAGCAGTTAGATTTGCACAGTGACATGAAGACCCTGTAAACAAGGGTGCGTGTGTGCTAATGTTCTGTTTGTAAGGTGACATGTGCACGGCCCTAGGTGCCATCCATCTGGGAGAGTAAACAATGGAGCTGCTCAGTGGTGAGGAACCTCCCGAAGAGCGAGGCTCACAGCTGTGTCCTGACAGACAGGGATGGTGTCCAGAGTTCATGGAGTGTTCATCTTGTGTGGATACGGTGGTTTTTCTGTGGCCTCAGGTGACCACTGGCCACACACTCCTGAGTCCTCTTGTGATGCCCAAGCCAGCCATCCTGAAAGTGGCCCTGGAAGCATGCAGTTGTGCATGGCCAGCAGCCTCCAGCAGGGAGTGCTCTTGCTTCCCAGCCAGGCGCCTCCCTCATCTGTGCTCAAGGAGGCAAGGGACATGGCCCTGCTGATGGGAGGATGCTCGGAGTAGGACTTGTTTTTCTTTTTTCTTTTCTTTTTTTTTTGACATGGAGTTTCACTCTTGTTGCCCAGGCTGGAGTGCAATGGCATAATCTTGGCTCACAGAACCTCTGCCTCCTGGGTTCAAGCTTCTCCTACCTCAGCCTCCCAAGTAGCTGGGATTACAGGCATGTGCCACCATGCCCAGCTAATTTTGTATGTTTAGTAGAGATGGGGTTTTCTGCATGTTGGTCAGGCTGGTCTCGAACTCCCAACCTCAGATGATCCACCCACCTCAGCCTCCCAAAGTGTTGGGATTACAGACGTGAGCCACCGTGCCTGGCCTAGGATGTGTTTTTCATGCCTGAGTTAGCCGTGGGATGACGGGTGTGTTGCTGAGTACTTCCTGTGTGCCTGTGTCCGCCAGGCTGTCTCCTATGAGCCCCGTGAGCTGGGAATGAGGCTCATCCCCATCTCACAGATGCAGGAACTGAGGTACGAGGTTGAGGAGTCCATGTGTTAACTACTTCTCACAGTGTAACAGGCCAGAACACCGCCCTCAGGACCTTCTATTTTATTACAGAGGCGGGTGATAAACAAGGAAAAGGCACAACTGGATTAAATAACTACCTACTCTGATGCTTTGAAGGAAATAAATAGAGGGCTATAATAAACATTCACAGAAGGCCTCTGAGAAGGTGGTGCTGTTGAAGCAGACGCTTCAGCCTGCAAAGGAGCCAACCCCATAAAGCTTGGGCCTGGGACGCCCTAGGGAGATGAACCAGCAAGTGTAAAGGGCTGGTGGTGTCACATTGCGGTGGTTCATCCAGGTCACATCCAGGTCCTCTTGAAGCCTGTGTAGAACGCCTACTCCCCAGTGGGGTGGGGTAGGTCCCAGAACTGAGTTGGGGTGTCAGGTGGGGACCACTGTCCCACCATGGCTTAGAACTTTGGGCATGGGCTCTGAGCCCATTTTCTCAGTGAAGGACTGGCAAGGGGATTTTCTCCCCCTGACTTGGTGTGCCTGTTGGTTTGGCAGGTGATGGTTTGGAAGAGTAATTTTGATGTCGTTGATCATGGAGAAGTCATGAAAGTGCCAAGGCCTCCAGCCACGCTGGCCAGCTCTGCAGGGAATCTGGTAAGTGGCTTGGCAGGTATGTCCTGAGCTCTGTGACTCTGGTGGGCTAGGTCATGGTGAACAGCTCTGGGCTTGGAGATGGTGAGGGTAGAGGTTTAGGCCCATCTCGGGAAAGGGACCCTGGTAAGATCTTGTCATTTACCAAATACTTTGGCATTGCGATGCTTTGTTTTCCATCTAGAGTGAATGATTGAGACAAAAAGAGGCTGATACAGCAAGCTACTGGGTTCCCCGGGCCTGTGCCATTTGGTGGGGGTGTGTTTCCATGGCAAATGCTGCTGGTTGGTTGAGGCCTTAGGAGATGAGGGACCTGTCCCATACTGAACCCTGGGCCACAGGATACAAATGTGGGGCTCCTAGAGGGTTCAGGGGCTGAAACCACAGCTGGGACAAATGGGAAAGGCCCAGCCCTGTTGCTTTCACTTCCCCCACTTTTTTTTCTAACCATGGAGAGGAAGTTCCTCAGCCACAAACCATTTTTAGTACCTTTGCTGGTAAAAGATATTCGGTGTTCCTGAATTTAAATAGTTAATATTTTTGACAACTATTTGGGGGAAAAATTGATAACTGATACAGTCTCATTAAATAAGGTCATATTCAGCATTGGCTGAAATAAATGTTAAAGCCAAGGTTGTGGAACCCTCAGGGTTCCAAGCTCCTATGGCTACAGGCTGTTTAAATATCTCTTCACTGGACCATAGAGGCAGTGTGGCCTCCCCTACACGGATACTGGTCCAAACAACAGGAAGCGGCTCGCTCAAGGCCTCCAGCGAGTCAAGGCTGGGGCCCAGAATAGAACCAGGAAGCCTCTTGAGTCTGTCCCAGGGCTTCTGTGGTTGCAGTAGATCGACCCCCTCACCACCCCATTCCATGACACACACATGCCCCGTTTTGTGTCCTGGGCTGCCTCTCGGCATTGGCCCAGTTGGGATTTATGGTTTTTCTTCCAGGGGTTGCCATCCTGGCTGGCCCCTTGGCGGTCCTCTGTACTTGCTAATCAGTGGCCAGTTTTCAGCTTTTGGGTTTGTTGGGGGTTGACTTGCTGCTGGTTCATCTTCCACCCAGAAAGGCATTCACACTGCAGGGTTGGGGTCCCCTCAGACCCAGCAGACCTCTAGATCCTGCCCTCTTTCCTGTGACTCCCTATCTACTGGGCACTTCCAGTGAGCCACAGCCAAGGCCTTTTACGCTTGCCACCCTGTTTATTCCTTAAACCTTTTTTTTTTTTTTTTGAGATGGAGTTTCACTCTTATTACCCAGGCTGTAGTGCAATGGCGCGATCTCGGCTCACCACAACCTCTGCCTCCTGGGTTCAGGTAATTCTCCTGCCTCAGCCTCCTGAGTAGCTGGGATTACAGGCATGCACCACCATGCCCAGCTAATTTTTCATATTTTTAGTAGAGATGGGGTTTCACCATGTTGACCAGGATGGTCTCGATCTCTTGACCTCGTAATCCACCCGCCTCGGCCTCCCAAAGTGCTGGGATTACAGGCTTGAGCCACCGTGCCCGGCTTATTCCTTATCAGAATGAGTGGGTAAAGGTACTGCTCAATTCACAGATGAGACACCTGGGACTTAGTCACCTTCCCCAGATACCTGGACCAGGCTGACCCCTCTGAGCAAAGCTAGGAACTGCAGGTAGCAGAGGGCTGCTGGCTCTCTTCCCCATTTTAGAGGAGGGCACTGTCATCTGCCTCTTGGGAATGGTTAATATCTACCAACTGCAGGAGAATCTCATGTTCTTATAGTTATTAGGAAAATAAATAAGATGAACTGCCTTTTGTTCCTTTAGTCCCGGCTCAGCGATGAGGTATGGGGCACCTTTGCTTCCCAGAGCTGTGGGTGGGGATCCCAGCGTGGCAGGATGGGGCATGGTGGGTGAACAGCTCAGCAGGGCTCAGGGCAACCACGTGATCCCATACTATCTACAGGCTCATGTTGGAGTTGTAGTCACAACTCTGCCCTCTGGCCCTCGCTACATGGGCCTCAAAGAGGGGAAAGGCTGTGGGCCCTGGGGTCAGAGAACTGGGTCTAAACCCTGGATGTGTGGCCCCAGGCAAAACACGTGGTCTTCCCAAACCAATATTTCCACTGTGGTACCTGAATATCCCATAGGCAGGCTCTGCCGTGAGCTTTGAGACCCCACAAAGTGATTTGTTCATCCTAAAATCATCCTTAGTTGAGATCCGACCTTTTTCCTTATTTGTCATAAGCCCCTCTGAGACCCTGAGTGGATGTTAAGTCCTCTTCCAGACACACTTTCGCTGACACACACCTGCCATATGGTATAAATCTTTAGGACTTTTCTGATCTCAGGACTCCCAGGCCAAGAGGAGCGCTAGGTTTTTAGTTTTTGTTTTGCCTTGTTTTATTTTGATAGTATATATATAACACAGAGTTTACCATTCTAACCATTTTTAAGTGTACAATTCGGTGGCATTAAATATATTCACAATGTTGTGCAACCATCACCGTCTATTTCCAGAAGATTTTCATCTTTCCAAACTGAGGAGAGCTACTTTTTATAACACTGTTCAGTGGTTCGGTTTTCTTCTGAGATAGGAAAGGAAGCTGATGGCACTGAGACAGTATCTGGGGACTGGTTCCATGGCTGGCCAGAGTGTCTTAGCCCCACAGGGAGCCCATGAGCTCCATGTCTCAGGAGCTTGTGAGTCTGATGAGCCTCTGCCCCTCCAGCTCTGTCTATTTACTGGCCTTCCAGTAACACAGGGTTTCTCACCCTCAGCACTATTGATATTTTGGGCCAGATCATTCTTTGCTGTGGGCGGGGGAGAGGGGGCTATTTCGTGCATTGTGGGATATTTAGCCGCATCCTTGGCCTTTATTCACTAGATACCAGTAGCATCTTCACTCTCCCACCAACCTAAGTTATGACAACCAAAAATGTCTTCTAGGCTGGGCATGGTGGCCCATACCTGTAATCTCAGCACTTTGAGAGGCTGAAACTAGAGGATCGCTTGTGACCAGGAGTTAAAGACCAGCCTGGGGAACACAGCAAGATCCTGTCTCTACAAAAATTTAAAAATTAGCTGAGTATGGTGGTACTCCCCTGTGGTCCTAGCCACTTGGGAAGCTGAGGCAGGAAGATCGCTTGAACACAGGAGTTGGAGGCAATTGTGAACTATGATCATACCACTGCACTCCAGCTTGGATAACAGAGTGAGACTCTGTCTCTGGGGAAAAAAAAGTCATCCAATACTGCCAAATGCCCCTCTGGTGGGCAGAATTGTCCCCAGTTGCAATAAGAGAATCACTGCAATAAGTTTTGCCTCAGCGGTGAGCCCAGAAAAGAAGCTGACCTAGCAGTGGGAGGAGTGTGGGAATGTGTCTGGAGATGGGGCTCTCTTAGCACTGGGAGGAGCATGGGGATGAGGTGGGAGAGGCTGTGAGCATGTGGGTGAGGACTGCTATTCCAGCAGCCCTGAGTGTGAGGACTCTGTTCAGTTGCGCCAGATCTGGGCTCCCACCAGCAGCGGCAGTGGTAGCCCAGGTTTCTCAGCCTGGGTTTCTAACAGAAGCTCACTTTGTAGGAATCTTGTTTGGTCTCAGTCTTCTGCAGGTGATGGTAAACAACAGAAAAAAAAAAAAGACCTTTTGCCTTTAGCAACTTGGTTTTCTTCACTTAAAAATTGGAAAGTGATTTTGCCTTTCCTGCCTAAAGGCTTCCCTGGCTCTAGGAGAATATCTGGTCAGTGGTTTGGTGGCTGACCAGTGTGGCTTGACTTCTCCAAGAGCCCATGGCACCACAGCCGTGCCCCAAGAACTCATGAATCTAACGACCCTCCGCCTATGTCAGCTCTGTCTACACCCTGGGCCTGAAGCCATGTGAAACATCCTGGGCGTTTGGGGATTCTAGGAAGCCTATCGGGCAGGTGTAGGTGTTGAATTCCTCACCATGTCCCCATTCCAGTATAGCAGTTGAAAGCCAGAGGGACAGACCGACCCTGCATGAACCCCCTACTCTACTCACCCACTAGTAGACCACAGCAGGGGCAGCCCTGTGAGCCTGTGATGGTCCTTCTGCCCTGGAAAACTCCCTGCCCATGACCCTTTCTCTGACTGCAGTGCTTTGACTCTCAGATCTTGGAACGAAGGTTGTCCTTGAGCCCACTCTGAATAGAGCTCTGTTCACTGCAGAGCTATTTTCAACCTCTGGTTGAAATTCACAGCTTATTTTTAGGCACATTTCATGTTGAAAAGCAAAAGCCATTTCCCAGCCATTCAGAATGTGAATAATGGGTTCCATTTTCCCCCTATTCTTGGCTGAGCTGTGCATGAGGAGGGATTTCAGGGCCTGTGGCTGGGAAATTTTCTCTGCTTAGAAGATTGCAGAGGAAGGATTCCAGGCCATGCTCTGGGCTGAGGGTGGACAGAAGCTCCATGTTTTGCCTTGTGACATGCTACAAGGCTGGAGGAAGGATGGGAGAGCCACTTGCAGGCAAATGAGCACCTCCCAGAGGGGCGTGAATGTGGGCAAGGGATGGGAGCCCCTGGGAGTTGTCTACAGTGAGTGCTCATACTAGCATTTTCAAGGATCTAGTGCCTAGCTCTGTTCCCTGCCACCACCCTGCCCCTCTCTGCCCTTGTCCACCCTTGCTATCTGTCCTTTGGGGCCTGTCCCTGAGGCATAAAGACCCCTGAATCTTGGGTGACCTTAAATTTAACACCTGTTCCCAAACACCCTGCTGCTATAGGACAGACAGAAGAAGCTCAACCACAGAAGCATTTTTTAACCACTTTTTAAGTAGCAGAGATGCATTTGCTTGATTGACTTATTTTTGCCCTCCTTCCAAATGTCTGGGGGCCCATTATGCAATTGGGAAGAAAGGTTGTGCTGGGTGGGGTGGGAGGAGAACACAGAGTTCTAGATAGTTCAATGAAACTGGGGGAAAAAAAGAAACAAAACCCACTTCCTGAGTTCTAAGGATTGGCTGCTGTCTGGTTCACACATTAACCTTGAGTTTTAGGGCCGAGGGCT